CAACTTTGCCCAAGACAGTAATTTTCTATCTGGTGAGGATCTCGAGATTTTCCATGTTGTAACCAATTAAGTCAAATCCCACGTAGTACGGACACCGTTTACGCGGATTCCATTCACATTTTCTCTATTATCTGCATTGTTTGGGGGTAAACTGTGATAAAAGTTTAGCTTGTTTAGTTAAAAACAAGTTTTTTAAGGAATACCCATTGGTTTCATATCGATTGGTAGCTCGGCTGCAAAATGGCAATGGAAAACTTACACTGTTGTACAAAGTACAACGCGCGAGTACTCGTGTTACAAAAGTTGGCGCGAGTAACGGAGGGTTAAGTTTACCTAGCTTCTTAGTGAAAATGTACCTGAGTTAATATTTAAAATTTTTCTTCAGTCGAGTATTAGTACAAGACACTGAAGAAGTCTGCACATTGTAGACGAAATACGCATATCTGTCAAGGATAAGCAAATAATGTAGTGGAATTAAATGGAAATTACGAATCCTTCTCTCTCTTTATACTTTATTACTTCTTCTTCTTCTTCTTCTTCTTCTTCTTCGCATTTCAAGCTTAATGCATATCGCATATTAGCTTATTGCGTGCTCTCAACTTAGTGTTCTAGATGCACTTCCACAGTTATTAATTGAGAGCTTTCGATGCCTGTACCATTTTTGCATTGGTATAATTGTGTGGCAAGTCCAATCATACTTCTATACCCAGGGAAGTCGAGAAATTTTCCAACCCGAAAAATTCCTAGACCGGACCGGGAATCGAACCCAGCCACCTCCAGCATGGTCTTGCTTTGTAGCTGCGCCTTTACCGACTGAGCTAAGGGAGTCCCTAGAAATTCTCATCGGCATTCCTTAAGTAAATTCTCCTTCAAAGGTTGCTTAAAATGATGTTCTGCTTAGAAGTTCTTTAGAATTGTCTTTAGTTTCAGATTTCCGTTCAGTTATTATCACAATTTTCATAGAATTTGTTTCAGATTTTCTTTAGAGTTCTTGTTAGAGTTTTCTTGGAATTGTGGTCTTGGAATGAAAAATTTAAATTCATTTTGGAGGTATCCTCAGAATTCTCTTCGCATTCTACTCAGAATTCTCTTCAGAGTTTCTTTGAAATTCTCAGAATTTCTTTTGAAATGATCCAGGACTTTGCCTCACAATTGTAATACAATAATAATTTTACTTCGTAACTCCCTCAATAATACATTTCAGAATTTCCTAGAAGTTCTTTTCACAATGCCCTTGGAATTACAAATATCAATTTCATCGATCAATTGGTCTCCGGTCCATGAGTTGATGGGTCGATAGGTAGGGTCCAGGTGTGGGATCTACCTCCCTGACGTTGGTAGCATTGGTACTCAGTACGGAAAACAAGATCGACGGAAAACAAATCAAAGGGGGTGACCCCGGCGTAGAGGTTAACATCCATATCTCTCACGCCAAAGTCACGAGCTCAAATCTCACCCCCGGACAAGTTAAGAATGTCCCAAGAGCGTTAAAGTGACTATAATAATAATGAAAAATAAAAATAAAATCTAGGAAAAAAAAATTTACAACTAGTTATCACGAAGAGGACTGATCATTTAAATATACTCATCAGTTGTCCTTATCTCGTCTCAAGGATTTGAGTGCTTTAAAATTTTGTGATTTTAATTTTTATTAATTTATCCTCCTATTAACACTTACCGCCCAATTTAAAAAATGTTTTTTATCCTTCCACTTTCAGGTACTTTGATCGATTCAACCAAGTTTTATATGGAAGCAATGTACGTACGTACCCCAATAAAATGTCAATACTCGTACAACTCATAGTGCGCTTCCATCAAAATTCAGCACATCTATCCAATGAGTTCGCCAAAATTTATGCAGCACCGTACCACACCATGCCGTAAGCTTTCATCACAATTTCCACACTACGTTTTCAGCGCGGTTACCCAACAGGTGGTCGTACAAGCTAGTAACAGACAGCAGTTTGACCAAGGTGCTTTGCTCAAATCTCGATTTTACCGTCGTTGTCGGTAGACCTTTCAAACTTTGTAACGAAATTCGAAGCACCGTTCTTTCAAAATGATTTTTCGCTCTCATGGCTCACTTCAAGGCGACTGCCAGAAATATTTCGTAAGAATTTTCCTAACGAGAAATCCTTATATACTTCATCCTACTACTCCTATAACCAACCGAAACAGCGAACGCGCAAGATGGTGGAAAAAAGCCACGCCAACCCCCTTTCAGTTACCGCGCGTAACTCAAAACTCGACAAATTTAATAAATCTTAACTTTGAAACAGCGCCGCAAGTGGATTTCCTAGGACTTCTTCATTCAGCTGGGAGCTTAAGCTTATATTGGAAAATAGTTGCGATGTTGGTTGGTGGTTGCGAGAAAAACGAACGAACTGGCGCTCGGCTGGGTGGTGGCGTCGTTCCAGTGAGATTGAGCTCCGGGTGGGAGAAAAGTCGTTCTCTTGTAGAAATAATATATTCGAATATAATTAGTTTTTACCCTGGGACGATAGGAAGGACCTTGGGGGAAGGGTTTCCCGCTTTCAAAGTTCAGCTTCTTCGTCGAATAAATATTGTTCCTTATATTTTCGAGCGTTAATCCCTGCACAGCGAAACGTGCTCCGTGATTCGAAAGGATTCTTTTCACCAACAGAGTTGTTCCGTCGTTCACCATCACACACCGCGCACTTTTAGAGGAATTTCTGGTATGCGACTCTATTTTCCAGAAGACGAAGCCAACGCCGAAGGCTTCCCGGTGTACGTGCGGCGGTGATGGTTGTTAATACTTTGAAGATGATGCTTTCCCCACTATACACAGCTTTCGCAGATTTTCAAATAATGGCAGCTGCTGCTGATGGTACAAAAGCCTACATTTTCGGCGTGAAGTGCTCCGCATACACAATATAGTGTGCGCTGCTTTCCACGGTGTGGAAAATAGATGGAAACTCTTCCTGGCACTTGTCGCATGGAAGTGCAATGAAGGAAACTTTGGCGACAATTTATTCGTGCATAAATTTACATCCTGTTGAGATTTGCTTTGCAAGAAAATTTCGATCCGCTAAAACTTTATACTTGATTATCGGAGACTGATTACATCTATGTTCATCAGCGCATCTTATTTTGTGATTTTCTGAGACCTTTTAGCCAAGCAAAATAAATTTCGTCAAGGTGGTACTTCCTGGCTCGCGTGATCTTTATGATAATGAAGATACTTGATGCTAACAATGTTCATCACTCGTGTGCTTTATGTACATTGTGGTTTCTACCTTCTCAATGGTATATCGCTCAAAGCTTCTTCTCAAAGTGCCTCTTCACCAAGGAAGGTTGACAACTCATCATCAGCACGCGCGCATCATTTCGGTCCCCTATCGCTTCGCTTTCCCAAATGATAAAGATGATTTTCTTCAAGAAGATGGTTTTCATGTACCTATAGGTACGGGTAGATAAAAAAGAAGATCTGCTTCCCTCGCTCTACCGTGTTTGTTGTATAGTCAGTAGGTTGATTTATCTCTGAACGTCCCCTCATCCGTTTAGTTCCGTGTTATTTTGCAGCTTCTTCCATTGTATCAACCCACTTCCTTGGTACGTGTGTCCTTAGGCGTGTGCTCATCCTGTACTATGTTTTACTGTTTGGCAGGGATGGGGAATTTGATTAGAAGGGTGAAGGAACCTGGGATAAGAAATTTAATTTATTCATGAAAGCATCTTCGCTGGCGCTTCAGCTAGCTCTATTTCCTAGCCTCACACTTGTTTTCATTTTACTCGGGGATGAAATTTGAATTCTTGTTTGAAAAAGCAAGCGAATAGAGCTGTCTTGGAACTTGTTACTCTCGTGGATTCTTTGCAGTATTTTTCCTGACGTCTGAAAAACATTATTCATTATTATATATTATGCATATTTTTCTGCAAAAGGCTGAGTAGGAAATGTATTCAAAGGTGACAGAAAATTTTGGCAATTCAGTTGCGAGTAATCAGAGAAGTTCATAATGAATTTCACGAAACTCTCAAATATAGGATCTAGAAAGCCTAAAAACGTCTCCACCAATTGCCCGCCCGTATAATTCTGGGGAACAATCCAACAAACCCTATTCTCACCGCACTTCAAACGGCGTCCCAACCCGCTGCTGTCACCCAAAGATGCTGCCACACGACGGCGACGACGCCGCAATAACGCCGTTCTGTGTATTCCCTTTGCAGCGATAAAAGGAAGGAAGTTGCCTAAGTACCTACCACCACCCACACCAAACCACCACCTTCGCCATACTTGGTGAGGAATATGCGCCCTGACTCGTCCACCTTCCCGACCAACGCTATGGAGTTGCTTTTCCAAGTAGGATGAGTAGATGGGCCAAAAAAGTAATTTCAAACTTTTCCCGGTAAGATTTTCTCGCGTGAAAAGCGAGAGAAAACTTATACGTAGAACAAAAGACATGAGCGTGTCGGGGATCGAGTGGCTTAGTGTGAGTGCGAGTGCGAAGGAGGAGTGGAGTTTTCCTCATTGAGTACGGTTGTGTAAGTGTTTTCACGCGGAACAGGATCCTGACAAAAACAAAAAATGGTTTACCGTTAGGTACGTTGATGAACAGCGAATGCGGAACTACCGCAGCGTAGGTTTATGGCTGCGGGCTCTCACATTTTAGGGGTGGAGTATCACAACAATATTTTTTTAGAACAACACACTTGTCGGCTCTGTTTGATCTGCTCCCGATACTCCGCTCACGCTTCTAAGATCCGGTTGTTTTATGGGATACACTCTTATTACTACCATACACACAAGCATTCATTTAAATTACTCAACACCATTTTCGATCAACTGGATCCAATTTCACGCCTCAACAACAATGGAATCGTCCTCAGATGATCGAATTTTACGTTCATGATGGTACCAATTTCCAGAATGATTCAATTTCCAAAATGTCATCTGAAGAAAATGGAACGGGGTTTTTCGCCACCACCATCAATAAAGCACGCTAAAGGTTGACTCAAGATGGCACACTTAGAACTCCTACCTGATTGGTTAGCGCCTCGTTGGCTTCGTCGTAATTTGTAGCCATTGGTGGATATGGCGTCTTTGGTAGCTGATAGGCACCACTAGCGTCCAGTTTTGGGAAGATCGTGTGTGGCAAGGTCTCCAGTGGATGCTCCAAAGCCGCAGCGTAGGCCTGTGGACCATGTGGCAGTGGCGATGAAACTCTACAAGTATAAGAGGCCGAATTATTAGCATTTCAAATGTCAAATGTGTTCCAATGTGTGTCAATCTCACCTTGGCAACATGCTGGATGGATCCGGTGGCGGGAAGTTATGGTGTTGCTGCGGCTTCTGCTGCTGTTGTTGTGGCACTGGGCTTGGCTGAGCGGCGTATGTCGGTGGAGCGGGGCTCATTGCCGGGCTGTATGCGGGAGCACCGTAGCCATTCGGTTCGTGTGCGCTCTGATGCAGAGCGACTTGGTCATCGCGTCGGATCGTAATTTTAATCTGATTGCCGGCATTGCGGAAGAAGTTCTGCGCATCGTTGTGGGTCAGATCGCGCCCATCGTACTGGTCAATTTTGGTAATGATATCGCCACGCAGAAGCTCCTTCTGTGCCGGGCTGTTTACTTGAACCTGGAAGAAAGGGAAAACGGAACGAAAAGGGGCACGTTAGTAAAATTGTATTTCGAAAGAAGAGGGTAAGTGCTGGACAGTTCAGGCGATACATTTCTCACACAACCTGTTTCGCTTTTTGGTACCTCCGAAAAAATGGGTTAGATAGTTCTTTGTCTGGTCGGTTGAGGAAAAGAACGTGCGACAGCTTTGGATACAATATTTTACGAAAGAAAATGTGTTTTGAACCAGTATTCTGTTTTGGGATAGATCCGGCTAAACATGATTTGGTTCCCACGAAGTATTGGAACGTTCAGTAGTTTTGGAGAGGCATTCTGTTAACCCGTTTTACAAGTCAGTTGTCAAGCTAATTTGCAAGGATGAAACTGTGGTGGTTTGTAATATGTGTGGAGTACTTTACTTGGAACAGGAAAATTAAAATATTTCGAACAAGGAGTTTGATTTGCCAATAAATGAGAGATCTGACTGTGTGTTACAATTGACGAGGCATCATGTTGCTGTGTAGTGTTCTCAATGTTCTGTGCAAAGTTATCCTAAATAGGATACAGGAACGATGCGTCTCTCCGGCGGCAGCAGGCAGGATTCCGTGCCGGAAGATCTTGTGTGAACTATATTGTCTCGCTCCGTATCACCCTGGAGCAGTTGAACGAATTCCACGAGGTCCTGTATTTAGTTTTCATTGACTACGAAAAAGCTTTCCATTGGCTCAATCACGAGAATCTGTGGGGCGCCCTGAGGCCCAAGGGAATCTCGGATAAAATCGTTATCCTCATCAATGCGCAGTATAAGGCTTTAACGTTGAGTCTTCCCGAGCAAAGTCTGAGATCAAGTTGAAAACTAAATTTGATGTTGTGATGGCGCTGATAATGATTACTGAGGTTGCTGTCGTTTTGATATTTTAACGGTTAAAATATCAAAATTGAGGCAAAACAAATTTTTCTGTGACATCACATTGAAAACTAATTTTGCTATCAGTGAGAGCAAACTGAAAACTCCATTTGATGTATATTTTTCCAGTTGATAACAAAACGAGTATAAATTTTGATGTTCTGCTAAGGTAATGAAAACAAAACTGAAACGTTTTTTTTTGAAAAGCAAATGTACAGCAAAATGAATACAAAATTTGTCAATCTCGTAAACTGAAATCGAATTAAAATCGTAAACTGAAATTATGATGATGAGAAGATCTAAGAAGGGAAGTTTACCGCCTCTCTCTTCTTCGTGAGTAAATTTGATGTCCTTGTGAACGTTACTTATGGCCTCCAAAATTTTTGATAAATCTTCCCTTTTGACAATGCTAAAAATGTCATCCATGTACCTATACCAACACTTGGACAACAAATTCCTATCTTCCAGAGTATTTTCTAGGTTAGCCATGAACAATTCACATAAAAATGAGAAAGCGGATTGCCCATAGGAGCACCTTTAGTTTGTTTATAAAAATTTCCTCTGAATATGAAATAATTTTCCTCCATACAAAGAAGAGTAAACTTGAAATATGACCGAACTTTGTTTTTCCAAGTACAATCCTCACGTTGCTTCAGAAGCCAGTCCTCTAAAAGGCTGATGGCTTCCTTTACTGGTACACTCGGAAAAAATGCTGTGACATCAAATGAAACCATGACTTCATCTTCCCGAATTTCTCCTGATGCCTGAAGTTGATTTTCGAATTCCTGTGTGCTAGTTAACTGAGCAAGTTGCAAAGGGGTTAGCCATATTTTGAAATTCCTTTACTAGCCATTTGGCCAAGCTTATGAGTGGGGGATCCTTCAGCCGAGATAACTTAGATAAGTGGATGTATTTACTAGTGAACAATTATCAAAAACTGAATAAATGAAACTAAAAGGGTGGTGTAGTGATAAGCGTGATTGCCTCTCACCCCAGCAGGCCTGGGTTCAATCCCAGTCGGCGCCGCCGAGATGTTCTGAGGCATAACATCTCTGATCACGCCTTCCTTCGGATCGGCCCCGGCGTACTGGTTAAGAACCATACCTCTCACGCCGAAGTCACACGAGTTCAATTCTCATCCCGGACATGTCACGAATGAGTGTTAAAGTGACTTTAAAATAAGGTTACTTCATACGTAAAGTTTACGATTTTCGGAATTGGTTGGAAATGCTATCTAACATGAAGTTTTATACCCTGGACAGACTATGGCTTATATCATGTAATATAGGCTGTCTTGCAATGAGCACTCATACATAGGATTTCCAGTGAAAACTAGATGTATGAGTGCTCATTGCAAGACAGCTTATATTACATGATATAAGCCATAGTCTGTCCAGGGTATTAGTGTGATAATAGTCAAACGCACACTTTTTTACCTAACTCGTACAACGTACGAGGAGATTTGAAGTTGACTGTTTTCGGCAACCAAAATTTAAACGATTCTTTAGTCTTTCAGCTTCAATATGATTACATTTTTACGAATAAGAAAAACTTTTAGGTCAGGTTTTTCTTCAAATGAAATATACGACTGATTTTCGAGTTGCCAATAATAGCATAATAGTTTAACACGCAGTTTAAATGGAAAGGATGCCGACGAAAAAAAAAGGCTGCCGACAATAGTCACACTCACCTGAGAAGTTTGGAGTGCTGCAAAATCGTTTTCAAAGAGTTTTAGACAATTCTGTCGATTGGAATGGATAGAATAGCAACCAGCAGATAAATGTAAACAAACAAACGCATGCTTAGATTGACGAGATTTCGTAAATTGTCCTCTCCTCAGATTTTGTCTCTCAGAATTCCATGAAACTTTGCATAATTGTTCGCTATGGTCGGTCAACACATCAAACTTGTGTGAGAATTGTTAACTCTAGCAGTTTTTGGCAATAGTGGTCTTCTAATGGACCTTACCTTAATTTTCACATTTTTTTTTCATTTTTTACAAAATTTATTTCGATACAAGGTAAGAAAATATATTTTGCAATTAAAACCGTGAAAATTTATTTCAAAATTGATTTAGGCAGGGCGGCCAGCGAACCGGGAAAACCGGGAATTTGACAAACCCGGGAAAAATCAATGAACCTTAAGGTGAATGTGACCTATTGAGTAAATAAAAATTTCAAAAATGGGTTTCTGTGAAACATCACTTCAGATTGGAAAAACATGCTGTCGTTATTTTGTGTGAAATAACAAAAGGAAAACATCGATTGAAATCAATCTGAAATCCCCTTAGAAAACCTTAATAGGGGAAATCCCAAGTAACATTGCTAGTTTTATCAAGGTTTTAAAGCGTTCTAAAAGTCCAATACATGGTCTTCAGAACCCTCATAAAAACAAAATTGTTACTTGGGATGTCTCTAATGTTGGCCTATGGATCTAAGATTGGGCCCATTGCTAAAAATCTGCTATTTATCAATTTTATCTAGATGAACGCGTTATTGATGATGATGATGATGATGATGATGGTCCCACCTCTTACCCCTACAAAGGTTTGAGCTGGACGATTTATCTTTAAGATAATTGAATATGACATTTTAACCAGGTTGGCAAACAAAATCGAACTGGTTTCAGTTACAGATATAGATTCCCTCTAAAGTTTACAGTTGCTTCACAGCGATATAAATGTGGAAAAGCTCAGGCGTCCACCTCTTAGTTCGCCTTTTTGTCCACCTAAAATATTCATAAGTATTACAAGCAATCAAGAGTTAATGAACAATCAACAAAGCATCCTATTACACTAGCAACCCCGCAATCTGATGCTATCATAATTTTCAGCAATGTTAGGAATGCTCACGAACCCCTAACATTTGCCAGAAAACTTACTACTAACTCAAGGTATCTTTCAAATAAGCTTCAAAATTGCATTTTTTTTATCAAATGTTAAATTCAGTCCTCTATATCCGTAATACGCGCGCGAGGCTCAAACCTTTGTAGACTACTTTTTTTTTTTTAATTAATCTACTATAAAATCAAATATTAAAAATCCATCATCACCCTCGTGGCGAACAGAAATAGTTTTTGCAGTGCTACAATAATTATTAAAAAGTCGTTATGACAGCTATCCATATAAAATAATCCGTTATAGATAACTTCGTCAAGATACATAATTTGTCAATTCATAAAAAAATCACTGGATAACTGTTCAAAAGACAGTTTTAACGTGTGAAATGCAGTGTCTTTTAAATTCTGTAAGTGTTGCTAAACGTTTGATATCCCAAGTAGCATTTCTTGTTTTATTGCACTCTATTAGTGGTTATTGAGATCAATTTCATAAAACCGCAAATAAAATCAATAGCTCCAGCACAACCTTTTGATAACCGCTATAAGATCGCCATACAGCTTAGTGGACCACTCTTGATAAGGTTTATAAAGCATATTTGAGAATCACAATAAAGCTGTCTTAAAACCTTTTGTCAGGAAGCCTCATACTCTACAAAAGGTTCTCATAGCCTCTATAAGAGTAATATTGTATCCAAGCAGTTTTATTACGCTTTGGTAAAAATCAGTTATAAAGCCAATTTAATTTGTGTTGGCTTCAAAGCAACCGCCATAAATTAGCTTGTTGTTGTTCTGTTCTGCTGAAATTTTTTTTCCAAATGGAAATCTTTAGCGGTAAAAATAGGTTTGAGTGTTGGTGTCAAGATCACCATGCCATAAATTTTGTTTCATGGCGACATTAGTGAAAATCTTAAAGAAAATATATTACTTTTAGAAGTTCCAAAACATATGCGCTTGAAATGTTATCGTGTATATTGAGATAATATGAGCGTTAAATAAATGCGCCTCCAAAATAATTCAAGTTAACAAAAAAGATTGTTTCAGAAATCAAATGAATTTGATGGAATCACCTTAATTTTACAGAAAATAGATCTCAATACATAAATGTATACCAATGCACACTGGAAATCATTTCGGATCTCTTATTTAGCCATTATTTTATTGAAATTTCTTGGATTTTATTCCAAGGCTAATGGCATTTTCATAATGACAATATGGCGACAGAGGACAGCAGGCAAGAAAAACACCAAGCGCAATTTCTTAAAATGTCTAATGCT